ACACACACACACACTGTTACAGTTGTTTTAACTTCTGGTCAGTTTTGTCACCACAGAAAGTTTAAGAAACCTACATCTGAATCTTGAGTTTTTCAAAAAATGTGTTCCCAGAGTGTTAAAAACTACTTGCTGTTTTTAAGCTGAAGTAAAAACACATTTCAGTCATGTTAGCCCCTGAAAAATGAGCTGAGGATCGCTTCTAAGAGTCACAGCTTCCGTCGCTCTTAAAGGACAGAAAAATTAAGTGTGTGGAAAAATAGAGTTCGTAAACTCAAACTGAGCTCAGGAGAGTAGGTAACTGGGTTCGAGATTTCTTTTTATAAAACTTTAAACCCAAAGCTTCAGTTTTAATTATTTTTGAACCTGACTGCACCTGAGCAGGTCAGATCAGCTCTGCTGCAAAACAACAAGACTTTAGTACTTGTGTAGTCAAGTAGCTGAACAAGAAAGAATAAAGATGAGAGTTTAGCTCAAATGATTATGAATGAATTAAATTGATTGCAAATTAAAACACTGAATCAGTAAATGGTTTTCAGTTTCAAGGTTTCCTCAGTATAAATCTGCTGCTACTGTTTGTTGTTGTTTTTTTGGGTACCTTATGCAAACATTTTTAGCCACTACTTCAGACATTTGGGGAAATTAATGTGTGATGCATTGCAAAACTATTTTGCTATGTTAGCAAAAAAAAGTATATGGGCTTGGCTCATTTAAAAATCTGAAATGGAAACAGTCATTGAATGTATTTTTGATGGAAATTCCACCTCGCTGAGCCTAAAATGCTGATGTAGTTTCAAGGTTGGTGCCACACTGAGCTACAGCCTGAAGTGTAACAGAGAGGAGGGTGTGGACAGAGTCTATTCTCTCTGCCTCACTCTGTCTGTCTGTCCTCCCTGCAGGTGTCTCGGCTGCAGCAAGAAGTACAGCAGGGGGAGAATGATATTAAAACAGCTGAGGGGCAGATCTCCACACTGAAGGAGGCGCAGGACAAGCTGCTGGAGGAGCTGGATGCTACCCGGGCCCGACTGAGAGAGACCAGCAACCTGCTGACTGCACTGCAGGTCAGGCAAACAAAGCACACGTCAGCCTGGGCACTGAACTTTACAACAGCATACTTAACCTCAAACGTCTTGATGCATGCTCAAACATCCAGGTGAGGAAATCCCAAAAGCTTGATTCTGTTTATCTGGACGTAGTGTTTTCAGTGGGTGAAACGTTTCATCACTCATCCGAGTGACTTCTTCAGCCTCAACCAACTGCAGGTTTCCCCAACCTTATAAACAACTGCTGCCTAAGCGAAAACCCTTAGTGTTCCCTTATTTGTCAAGAGTATCGGAACAGTTGACGCGTTTTCTCTCAACACTGCATCTCTATGGCTTTCAAACCCCCAAACACGCTGCACCACTAATTGGCCCATCCTGAGGATCGGGTCCCCCAGCACAAACAGAGTAATGTAGTGCACGCTGTTACGATTTCCATGATTTATACATCGGGGAAACCAAATAACCTCTGGCAAAGTGGATGGCACAACACAGAAGAGCTAACTCGCACCTATTTACACCTACAGGCAGGTTAAAGAACATCTCTGATTTGAGGAGGGGGCCTAAGGGTACATCTTTCGCCATCTTAAAAGGCTGTGATTGCAGCCATTCCCCAACTCTCTGTGAATGGTATTCATCACCACTGATCAGTGGTTGTTGATCAATGGTTTTCTCTGCTGCTATTTATCCATAAAGATTGTCCTTCTCCTAAGCATTATGTAACCAGATAGCATTTTCCTTTCTTTGTACTCATCAAAGTGCTAAAATAATGTATTTGAAACACTGCAACAATGTCTCTTTTTAAAAATTAGTGGCCTGGTTTAAAAAAAAGAAAATTGTAAATTTTGTTGTAGCAGTTTCTCCTTTTCTATTTTTAGCATGGCTTCTGTGTCCCTGCTGTGTTAGGATGTTAGGATTGACATTGCCAGAAGCCAATATGTTGTGCTGTCTGTTAGCAGTGTCACACTACATAGCTTTATTTTTTTGTCCTGCAAAAAAGCCACCTACGAAGCTGGATTCTCTCCTTAAAAAAGGAAAAACCTGATTGAAAACTGGGCCTAGTATCCCACAATGCTTTGTGAAAGGCTGTCTATAACTGATTGTCACTTTTAAGGCATCCCATACTGGCCTTCCTTGTGTTGTGGAAAAGCCTGATAGATGAATGAGAAGAAGGAGAGCAGTTCACAAAATTAACATCTACAAAGCATAAATCATATTTTCATTTAGCCTATGACTTCACATTATCCTTTACATAGAGTATGTAGGATCCAGTGCAGGAAACATCTGACTCAGCTTGTTTTTGGGCATGCAGATTGACGACTGACACCATCATTGAGATTAAAGTTAATTTAGATAAATTTCACAACTTTGGTTTCACTAAGGTGCACACTGGGGCACCTGAAAATTTGTAGCTTACTTACACCCTGTAATTAAGAACATACATTCCGTTCTGCCTTGTCAGATACGGTTGGTCCCCATAAACCTTAGTTTGTTAAGAAAAACCAAACATCACAGTTCTACACAAAAGTTACCACACAGTCAACTCACGACAACCGGTTTAACGAGCAGGTAGTGCAGAGAAATTCAATAAGACCAAATGTATGCTGATGTAAAAGCAAAGAAGTAACTTTGTTCTGAAACATTTTTCAGAATTTTGCACAGGCTGTTTAACGGGCCTGAACATGATAGCGCAATAGATGTGTAGAAAGTTCCATAAAGACAGAAAAGACAAAATAGTAATGATGAAAATCATAGTCTTTGAAAACAGAAAGTGTCTAATGGTGAATACACGGGTCTCACACCACTGCTGAAATTATTCTGCCTTCAGCAACTTTTCCTTTTTGTTGCTTCCCTTGTTAGCTGGCTCTTTAGCTTGCAGGTGCTGTGAATGTGTGCATGACTGGCATTTAGACAGCATGCACGTCAGACCAAAACTTCAGCTAGACAGGTCAAAACTTGTTGAGAATCTTAAGTGATGTGCACACCACAGAGTTTAAGTGTAACGTGTGATTTAGACTGCAATGGTGGACTGAAGTCAGTGTGTCCTTCTCTCAGGGAGAACTGGAGACCCAAAAACGTCAGCATGAAGCCAAACTCATCACCACCAAAGAAGAAGAAAAACATAAGATGGACAAGATGGCGCTGGAGCTGGAGCTCAAATGGACTGAAACACTCAGGTGTGTGTGTGTGTGTGTGTGTGTGTGTACCAGTTTAGACATCTTTGTGGGGACCAAAAATTGGAATTGAAAGCATTATGTCAATTAGATGTCCTCAGTAAGATAGAAAAACAAGAATGTGTGTATGTATTTTAAATGGAAACGCAACAATAGCATCCTCCGTCTTCATCTTTTCTTTTAACAGAGTATGAAATTGAGAACAGATGGGTAATTTCTGTATTTTTATTTCCTTATTTTCATTTCCTGCTTTTAGAAGATTAAACACACACACAAATGCACGTAAACACACACACACAGGTCATGCTGCTTCCACCGTTGACTGTGACAGAGCATTAGTCTTGGTGGGCTCTGCAGCTTCTCAGCTCAATCCAGTGTTAAAGCCCCCAGTGTTAAAGTCTCTGTTAACGTCCATAGACCTTTGAAGAGTGATTATTCAAAATCCTCTCAGAATTAAATTGACTGTTTTCAGGTGTGAACTGATGTACTTTTCACACAGCTACTAAATTACTCTGTTAGGGTTTTTGTCAGGATTCAACAGCATCTGATGAATTCTTCCTTTTGAGGCCAAAGTGAAAGTGCTGCGTTAATCGTAACATCTCATCTATACCTCTGTTTCTGTTTGTGGAGTTTTGCCTTGAAAGTTCATGCACACGCTTTCTTAAATCGATAATTAATTCCCTCCATTCATAAGTTCCACATCTGCAGTTATTACGCAAAGGGTATTTGTAACAAATAACTACAAGGGAAGGGCACAAAAATAGTGGCAGGCCTGAAAAGCTTTCAACAGCATATGAACAGTATCTGAAAACACCTAAAGCAATAGAAAAAAATCCAGCACTGAGCTGAGTTCCTGTCTGAGCTGAGACAGGAACTCAGCTCAGTGCTGAGCTTCATTTCACTGAAGCTTTCTAAGAAATGGTTTAAGTACAAAGGTGACTCTCACGAAGAGGAAAAGGAGGAAAAGTGAGTTTTGCCAGATTACTCAAGAACTGGACTGAAAATAATTGGATATATTGGATAATTATGGAGCAATGAATCCAAATTTGAAATTTTAGGTTCAAATCTGCATCAGTACTTACTGATAAGGTCAGGGGAGAGTACAATAGTGAGTGTCTGTAAACATGTAAAGCCATGGTGGCTCTGTCATGGTTTGGTACTACTGCGTTAGAGAGCTTGTCCAATTTGATGGAATTATGAACACAGAAAAGTACAGTTAGATTGAGCGAGCACACAATATAACCTGGAAAGCATTTGACTGGCAACAGCTTCATCTACCAGCATGAAAATGATCCCAAACAAAAAGCATATCTGGATAGAAAACACTATCAGCCTTGAACTACCTCCTCAGAGCCTGTACCTCACCATTAGTGAACAGAACAAGCATCCAAAGAAAAACTCTGAATGTCCTACAAGACGTCTGGAGAACTATTCCTTAAGACTGCTTAAAGAAATTACAACAAAAAACTTGCCTAAGTAAGTTCGGGCTTTAGGCATACCTAATATTGACTTTGGGGCTTTTTAGAGTACAGATATATACTTTTACATATATATGAATATTTTGGAAAAAGGAAGTAGTCAAGAAATCCCATTAATTGCTGATATTTTAGTGTAAACCAGGTCAGTTGTCACTGAATCGCAGATTGATTTTGCCTGAATAGTCTTAAACTAAAGGCCATAACAACGAGGATAAAGCATCTGTCAGAAGCTGGTCTAAAGTTTCAAGTGCCTAACATGCTTCTGAGATCTTATGTATAACCAGGACAAACTAGCACGGCCTCATCTGCGCTTTAGTCTGCTGATCCGCCGAACCTCTTCTGCTCATTTGGTAATCCAGAGAGCTCGTTCCGTGATTACACTATCACAGACAAACCGCCTGTTTCCACAGTGAAAGGGGGATTAAAGCCAGCCTCCTTTATTCAGACGGCTCACTAACCACAGTGTACTCACCCCAACCGCCAAATGAATAGATGTTCTCCAGGGAATAAAGAGCTCAGTGCATAGAGACAAAGGAAGGTGAATGGAAGCTAATGAAGAGGAGAGTGAGAGGAGGAGAGCGACAAGTGCTCTGTATAAATATGCTGGTCTATATTTATTTATTTATTTTTAATCCTACAGTGCGTTCATCTTGTCTTTGAAGACTGAATGTCACCTAGTCTGCGGTGTATAAAGTATTTAAGTGAATTTGCTGCAGATAGTTTGTCAGCACAGCAGAGGGAAAATGAGAAGATGTACTTTGCATCAGGTCTGATCATTAATATCACAGCAGAGCTGCTATTACAGCATGTAACACAATCCCCCCTTTTTGTTTTTGTCATTTTTTATTTAACCTCCTAAGACCCGAACTCTTCCACGACATGCATTTTTAATTTCTCTTTGATATTTGGGCTGATTGGGATGAATATAAAAACAAAGACCAGATTTTTTTTTTTTTACCTTCTTTTTGTTTTTAAGAAAAATAAGAGCCACATATGAGGATATTTGTTTAAAAAATTGATAGAACAGTAGCAGTATAATGTCCTTGTAAGTGGATATCAGGCCCTTGTAGAGCAAAATTGAGTATTTTGGTCGAAATAACCCAAAATGTGATGTCCACATATGTGGATGCCAGGTCCTAGGAGGTTAAACATCCTCCTCATTGGAAGCACCTTAAAATGTAATGCAGAATGTGAAATTCTGTTTGATATTTTTTTGAAGGAGGAATTCTCTGTGTTAAATAAATACTGTTATCAACCAGAAAAAACATACTTCTGGGGAGGTATAAAAAGAAAGAAAAAGCTGCCAAGAGAGAGGCCGCTGACAGATTTAGGTTGTGATGATTGTCAAGATAAGAGAAGAAAGATGCAGCTTCAGTATTTTAACATCAATTCTCCTAAATTTAATGCAAGACTTGACACCTATTGGCCTTCTATTTATGTGCTTCTTAAAATTTGTCCCTCTCTGTTGATGGGGAACATCAGGATAATATAAATGCGTCAGTATGCCAATATTTCTGTTTTGGTCTTTTGCACCTTCACTGAGTCTTCGCTGATGTAACATGCTTTATTGTCTTAATTCATTGTTCACATGCGTAGGAAGCTTGAATTGTCACCACTTTCCAGTTGCTGTCACTCATGATAATCCTTAATACTAATTCTATTCTAGTTTATCCCCTACACTCTTAAGAAATAGCAGTACACTAAAATCCCATATCTGTCCCTACTTGAATGCATCTGTTATACTTTAAGGTGACTTTGTGTACCTTACAGAGGTGTGCCCAAAAAGGAAAAGCATTTTAAATTATAATATCAGAACAAAGTCTGTGACCGCCCAAGTATTTCAACAAGCAAGTATTACATTTATTTACTGCAGATGTCTACAGTAACGCTGGAACACTCTGTTATGGTGAAAGGACCTGAGTGTTGGCGTGAAGCTGTTAATTTACTGGTCGATCTGTATTCATACCATCACCTATTGCCACGAGCTGCGGGCCGTGACCGAAAGAATAAGACTGCAGACACAAGCAGAAGTGAGATTGCTCCAAAGACCATCTGTGCTCTCCCTTAGAGGTAGGGTGAGGAGCGGCTGGTCCCCCACCTCGAAAGGAGCTGTGGAGGTAGTTTATCTGATCTGAGCTGGACGCTTACTGGTTTTGGGCACGTCCTAGTGGGAGGAGGCCCTGCAGCAGACTTGTGACATACTTGAGAGATGATATCTTTCAAGGGGCTCGGGAATGCTGACTTTGTCCAAGGAAAAGATGAAGTAGGCAGCTGGGGAGAGAGAGGCCCGTTTTCTCTGTTAAGGCTATGCACTGGAGTGGCGTTGTTGGGGTGTTGTTATTATACAGAAAACACATAATCTAATAACTAACGAAATTACAACTGAAATCAAATTTCTGTTCATTTGAAAGGGTGTTTGCAACCTTCTTGGTATCTCGACATGTTTCAGATCATCATATTATACAGAGATAACTCAGGTAATACAAAACATAGTTTTTACCTCTCTGCCTTAAACGCTTGACGGGGAGTTATCATCACCCTCCCGGGTGGATGGCGTGGACCTATGATTCTGAACACAATAACTTAAGAATGAGGCAACGTAGGGTTTTTAAATTCATAGCTTAGGTGCATCTATTACAAATCTTATCTACCTTGAACTCAAAGGAAAGATCAAGCATCACATTTTCTGAAAATCACCTTGAATTATCAAATTTATACCACAGGAGCATATTAGGAGGCTGAGGGGTAGTACTAATGGCCACTTGTATTTTTAAATGATAGTTTCGTTCATTAAGTGGAAAAAGTTATCCAAACCTACGTGCCCCAATCTGAAAAAGTAATTGCTCCCTGTTATTAAATGATGACTTATAATTTCCTGTAATTAATTTAATTTCAAAAACCAAAAGAGTCCCATTACATCTGGCATAAAACTAACACAGCATTTCATAAAACGATCATCACACCAACAGTTAAACAGGGTGGTGGTAGTAAGGTGGTTAGTATCTGGACGACTTGTTGTAATTGATGGAACCGTGAATCCTGCGCTGTATCAGAAAATCCTGAAGGAGAAAGTCCGGCTATCAGTTCATTGCCTGATGCTCAAACATACTCAGGTTATGCAGAAGGACAAAGATCTGGGTCCACCTCTGGATGACTCAAAAAAAAAGATTTTTTTTTTATTTTTTTGGAGTGGCCTCATAAAAGTCCAGACTTAAAATCAATTGAGATGCTTGAAACCCCTCCAGTGTGGCTGAATGAAAACAATTCTGCAAAAAACAGTGGGCCAAAATTCCCCCACTGTGATGTTAAAGACTCATTGGTGCCAATTGTGCCAGTGGTGGAACAACCAGTTATTAGGTAGAACTTTTTTTTCCTTAATGAAAATCATCATTTAAAATCTGCATTTTAAATTTACTGAGGTCTTGTTTGATCTAAATTTGATTTGATGATGTAAAACATGCAAGTGCCAGTCTTGATAGCCGGGGATCAGTCCGCCAAGGCCTCCTGCCCGGCACACAATGAACC